GGGGGGAGAGGACTTTTTTGGAATATAATCAAAATTCACTGATATACCGTTTATAGGTATAGGTAGATATAGGTAGGGGCCACTTCTCTTGTGACAGCACAAAGACAGTTGCGGGCTCACACCACTCCCCCCTCCCCCATTTTATTCCCCAGGGGACTATTATGGGGTAGATTAGAGTGGTGTGTTGATTTTGTGAAAGGTCTATATTCTTATTTAAAATGGGACATTTGTGGATACTAAGCTGACAAAATTAGAGCAAATCCAGAAGTATTGAAAGAATGTGATGATGAAGGAAATACGCTATTACATAAAGTGATTGAATATTGGGATGAAGATAAAGAAAAATGGCATACTTTGGATTATTTTTTTGGAGTTTTTGTAACTCATGAAGCAGATTTTAATTCTCAAAATGGGCGTGGAGAAACACCTATAATGGTTGCTATAAGAAGAAGGCAAATTATGTTGACAGCAAACTTTTTTCGAAAAGGTGTTGAATTTGTGATTATGATGGGAATAGCGTTTTGCATATGGCTGTTAAATCTTTACACTTGCACAATTTTTATGCTGTTGGTAATTGGCATGCTTTTTTACAAAGTTCTAGAAATTCCCTGCAGACTTTTGATCCTTACAAGAAAAATTGCCAACATTGAACAGCTTTACAACTTGCAGAAAATATGAAAGAAAGTATGAGGATAAAGGCTTCATTGTGCGAAATTGCAAAACGTGATTTATCAATACTTGAAGATATGATAACATATTTAAAAATACATGGTTCATCACTCTGATTTCTTTTTTTGAGAGACTGGTATATAAGTTAAAATAACTTAAAATTTTTTTTTGATATAAACTAAGTATAAATTTGGTGTTTTAAAAAATTGAGGTTAGTTGAAGTTAATGCGAAGTTGTGTTCATTTGAAGTTGTAAAAAAAATTTGAAGTTTATACAAGTTTTATCATTGATGGGTTCTTTTTTGAGTTTTTCTGAAAAAAAGTATGAAGACGATTTTTCAATACAATATTTTGAGGATAAACGGCAAAACAAGGGACATTTGCCGGAATTGTTGAAATCAGCCTCAGATAAAAAATTAGTTCACTTAGATAAAATTATATTTATGGTAAAAAATAATCCTTTATGTTTGGATGAGCGGGACGGATTTGGAAATAACGTTCTACATCGAATAATTCCAAATATCGAAGAAAAATATTTGGCTACTTGGATGGAACATAGATGGCTATTAAAACAACTTATTAAAAATGGAGCTGATCTTGAGGCAGAAAATATAAATCATGAAACACTGATAATGATTCCTGTTCATAAAAGAAAATGCAAAGTAATTCAATGTTTGGTAGAATGTGGTTGTAATTTAAATAAGCAAAATTATCAAAAAGAGTCGGTTTTGCACATTGCAGTATACGACGATTGTATAAGCGTTGTTGGTTTACTTCATTCTTATGGAGATACATTTTTGAACGAAAGTTTGAAAAACTTCGAAGATTTTACTGCTGTAGATTTATTAAGCAAAAACGTTGAGTATCTTGAAGATAGAGAAAAAAAAGATAACAATACTGAAAACTCCTTCAAGTGAATATAGAGAACAGTTAATTATATAAAAAATATATCTGCTAAGCTACAAAGCGCCAATGTTCGTTCATAAAATGATTAAGATAAAACAGTGTTTATGTATATGTCCTTCAGTTTTTCTTCTTCTGTGAGCGTGTTTTTTATCATGATCTCTCTCATGGCACGCATAAGGTGATTCTTCATCGCCTCGAAACAGTTGAATAGAGGGTCCACATAGATAATTGTAGCCTTTAGACATGTTGAATAATGTGAGTCATCTCTCTTATGCCGCCGTTGTAGCTAATTTGGGCTGTTTTTTTGCGTTTTTACTCCACAACTAACTCCGGATAGTTTGGGTTGTCAATATCGTCAAAATTAATGTAATTTCTTATGGCTCTCATTCTTAACGCGTTATTTTCAAATTTGGCAAGGTGGTCGGTCAGTATATATTTTATCACATTAAAAATGTCGAAAATGAAATGATCAAGAATGTAAGGAGATAGGTATTTAGAGTTGTTTGTAAATACGGCAAATTTTTGTTGAGATAAAGAATCCATTAAAGGATCAAGGCGAGTGGTTAGCTGTGGTAAAAAGTTAAATCACTACTCTTCTTCATCTTCCTTTTTTCAAAAGCGAGTTTTTTTAAATTTGTTTAAGCAGCGATTTTCTTTTTTGTTTGGGTTTGTCATCTTCATCTTCGTCGTCAGTGATAATGGCGTGATGCTTCGTCTTAATTTTTTTTGGTGCTTTTGTCAAGTCATCTAAAAATTGCGATTTTGGTGTAGTGAATATTTTTTGCTGCTTTGGTATTCGTTTTTTTACTTAAATAATTGCTTAATTTTGGCAACTTGTCTTCGGAGATTGTTTTATTTTAGAATTGTTCATTTGAAAGTTTGTTCATGTACGTTTGTAGAGCTTCGTTAGGTCCACCTGGTAACTCTTTCAAAATAGCTGCCTGATTATTGCTAGACATGGAGAGTGGCAAGTGTTCCGAAGTTATATTTTCTTCTTTTTCTAAATAACGTAACAAATCCTTGAATGCGATCGGATTCAAACAAACAATTTTGCTGAAAATTTGCTCAGCTTGATCGCTAACTCTTCTAAATGTAGCTGACAAATTGATCAGTGACAGCAAATATCTAAGTCTCATTTCTTCATCCTTTTTCTTTGTCTTTTTAAATGCGGTTCTTAAAGTATTTATCCTTGCATCATTCGGTTTTGTGAAGAATACAATTAATTCATCTTTTTCTCGGACATTTTTTACATTGTTTAGGAAGTTTACGATTTCATGAGTATAAAGATTTCTATTAGGTTCATGACTATTAGTAGAGCTAGTTGTACCTGTCGCAATAGCTGTTTTATCCGTAACTGACAATGGAATGGTTTGAAATGGAAGCCAACCTTTTATTTTTAATCGTTCCATTAAATGATCATGATAAGAGTCAAACGTGCTAGCGCTCGTTCCAGAATCATACGTTTCTTGCACTTCTCTTTCCACATAATTTCTTAGCTGTTTAAAAATTGTGGTTACTTTTCAAATTAGCAGCGCTATTTCCAAAATCAATTTCAATTTTTTATCTACAATACTTTCACCAAGTTTTGATACATTTGTAGTAGTTAAACCAACCTTCCATTTAGAAGTACAATCACTAGATAAATTGTCGTTCCATCTAAAAAGTCCGAGTTCATATTGCTTTGATAAGTGTTTGTTAATTGAAGTTTTATGAAAAATATAGGAAGTTTTGATTTCAAAGCTACCTTTGATAGATGATTTTGAATTTGAAGCCATTGTTCTGTACTGTTCTTTTGTAGACTTTGGCTGAAGCTTGTTGGTTGACGATGCGATGATTTGTCATAGGCTGATATCTTTGAAATGCTTTGAAAGACACTTCTGATCTTGGTGACCTTGCGATCGAGTGAAGTTCCCAGATCAGAACCGCCTATTTCATAGCTAAATAAATAACCAATCAGATTTAAGATATTGTTTAAAAAACAAAGAAATGATTGATGTTTATAAATTATGATTGACAGATGTAAATTTATTTTTTGAAACTTCAAATTTGTAAAAACCTACAATTTTCAATAACATCGAGTTTTTTCTTAAAACTTCATTTTTTTAAAAAATTAAAAAAATTAAATTTGAAGTTCATAATAAAACTTATAATTTTTTTTTTAAAAATTTGAAGTTAATATGTAACTTCAATTTTTTTCTATATGAACGATTTTAGACTTGGAATTTTTTTTGAAGTTGAGTCCAAAGTTCGTTTTTGTCTCCTAATTTGATTGGTTGCTTTCTTTGATCTTAAGGTATAAAATTGCAATGTCTGGTTGGTGGCAAGCTGACTCCAAAACAGATCCTAACATTTCAAGGTGTGTCGGTAAAAATAATGCCTGCTATGGAATTTTTGTTTAAATGCAAGATAATGGTGTTCATTCCTAAAGTTTTAAAAGGACAAGTTAAAATGGCGTTATTGTCGAAATCGTCAAACAGGCTTATTTTTGAAAAAAATGAATGTTAATTTGATTTTGTTCAACAATCATTATTATTTGGTGATGAAAAAAAGACTTTTGATGGATAAATTAAGTTGTTTGGTATGTGGACAGAATTTTGTTTGGATGAAAAGTTTGTTAAGACATAGAGCTGGAAGTGGTAAAAAAATAACTCGTTGCAACACTGATGTAATGTTGATTAGTGCAACTGGAGTTGTCAACGTACATGAACTCTTGCCAGAAATGTTAAAGAAAATGTTTCATTTACCGAATGAAATACTGGAAGATGTTGTAAAAGATGATAATGGTGATATTGATAATAACGAAAATCGGAATGATATGTATTTAAAAGAAATATGGCCTGTTATGACTTTGAAAGTTTATTGAATAAAACTTCTTTAAGTGAAATAAAAAGTCGAAGATTAAAAAATATAAGAGATGGTCAGTTTGGTGAATCTGAAGAAAATGAAAGATTAAAAAAAGAAGTGGAAGAACATTTTTTAATTGAGAGGGAAGTGATGCAAGAATTATATGATGAGGAGTTTGTATTTTCTGACGATGGAGAATCTATTATTTCTTCAAAAGAATTTAAAGAGAAAAGTGACGATTTGACTGTTGATGGAGAAGAGTATGTTTTTGAAAATATACCTTTGTCTTATGCAATATGTAGTAATTTGACAAGTGAGGACATTGATTACTTGTATCCGGATGAAAATGGCTATTCTACTATATTTCATATCTCAGAAAGTCCTGCAGAATTGATAAACTTTTTTGTGGATGATTTGACAGAATTGGTAAGATTGAACAAAGAAGTTGAATTCTTGAGATACAAAGAAATTGTTTTGTATATAAAAAGATATTTTGCAGAAAGAAACATTATTATTCAATTTACTGCTGAGGAATTAAACTATCTTCATGACGACGATTTTATAAGTGCGATTGATGATGAAACAGAACAAGGCGAAGGAATGTATTTTAATGGGTTTGTAAGTGTGAGTTCCACTTTGAAAGATTCTATTTCTGAGGATCAATTGGCTACTATGTCGAAAGAAATGGAAAAAATGGAAAAGATCGGTAAAGACCCACTGACTTTAATCGAATGTTATACACCTCAAATTAGACTGTTTAAACAATTTTTTGATTACATATCTACACTTCCAGTTTTTGGATTTAATAGTAGTGGATATGACATACCGCTAATAAAGAAAGAATTGTTACAAGTTTTGAAAGAAAAAGGTTTAAATTTCAGCAATATTGAAGATGACGAAAGTGAGGAAGAGTTTGATGAACAAAGCGATCTTGAAAATAACGATTTTGTTTTATTAGAAGCTGTAGATGATGATGATTTAGATGAATACGAAAGTGATTTTGATGTTGAAGAAAATATTGAGAAATCAAATTTTAGAGACTCGGAAACAGAAAAGGATTTAACAAAAATACGATCTTTTTTAAAAACAGTTTTAAGAACGAATAAAATATTTAAAGGTTTAAAAAGAGAATTGCAAAGAAATGTTGGTGGTGTGGTAAACGACAATAAATGTTTCTTTAGAATGATAGCTGTTGCCTCGATGTTAGCTGAGAAAGAAATTAGAGTGGAGGATTTAGTTGTGAGAAAGAACGAAAAAGCTCATTTGAAAACTCTAATTGAGAATAAAACAGCTGAATTGTTTAGAATGTATGCCGAAGTTTACAAGCTGACTCCAGTACAGATCCTAACATTTCAAGGTGTGTCGGTAAAAATAATGCCTGCTATGGAATTTTTGTTTAAATGCAAGATAATGGTGTTCATTCCTAAAGTTTCAAAAGGACAAGTTAAAATGGCGTTATTGTTGAAATCGTCAAACAGGCTTATTTTTGAAAAAAATGAATGTTAATTTGATTTTGTTCAACAATCATTATTATTTGGTGATGAAAAAAAGACTTTTGATGGATAAATTAAGTTGTTTGGTATGTGGACAGAATTTTGTTTGGATGAAAAGTTTGTTAAGACATAGAGCTGGAAGTGGTAAAAAAATAACTCGTTGCAACACTGATGTAACGTTGATTAGTGCAACTGGAGTTGTCAACGTACATGAACTCTTGCCAGAAATGTTAAAGAAAATGTTTCATTTACCGAATGAAATACTGGAAGATGTTGTAAAAGATGATAATGGTGATATTGATAATAACGAAAATCGGAATGATATGTATTTAAAAGAAATATGGCCTGTTATGACTTTGAAAGTTTATTGAATAAAACTTCTTTAAGTGAAATAAAAAGTCGAAGATTAAAAAATATAAGGGATGGTCAGTTTGGTGAATCTGAAGAAAATGAAAGATTAAAAAAAGAAGTGGAAGAACATTTTTTAATTGAGAGGGAAGTGATGCAAGAATTATATGATGAGGAATTTGTATTTTCTGACGATGGAGAATCTATTATTTCTTCAAAAGAATTTAAAGAGAAAAGTGACGATTTGACTGTTGATGGAGAAGAGTATGTTTTTGAAAATATACCTTTGTCTTATGCAATATCTAGTAATTTGACAAGTGAGGACATTGATTACTTGTATCCAGATGAAAATGGCTATTCTACTATATTTCATATCTCGGAAAGTCCTGCAGAATTGATAAACTTTTTTGTGGATGATTTGACAGAATTGGTAAGATTGAACAAAAAAGTTGAATTCTTGAGATACAAAGAAATTATTTTGCATATAAACAGATATTTTGCAGAAAGAAACATTATTATTCAATTTACTGCTGAGGAATTAAACTATCTTCATGACGATGATTTTATAAGTGCGATTGATGATGAAACAGAACAAGGTGAAGGAATGTATTTTAATGGGTTTGTAAGTGTGAGTTCCACTTCGAAAGATTCTATTTCTGAGGATCAATTGGTTACTATGTCGAAAGAAATGGAAAAAATGGAAAAGATCGGTAAAGACCCATTGACTTTAATCGAATGTTATACACCTCAAATTCAACTGTTTAAACAATTTTTGGATTACATATCTACACTTACAGTCTTTGGATTTAATAGTAGTGGATATGACATACCGCTAATAAAGAAAGAATTGTTACAAGTTTTGAAAGAAAAAGGTTTAAATTTCAGCAATATTGAAGATGACGAAAGTGAGGAAGAGTTTGATGAACAAAGCGATCTTGAAAATAACGATTTTGTTTTATTAGAAGCTGTAGATGATGATGATTTAGATGAATAAGAAAGTGATTTTGATGTTGAAGAAAATATTGAGAAATCAAATTTTAGAGACTCGGAAACAGAATAGGATTTAACAAAAATACGATCTTTTTTAAAAACAGTTTTAAGAACGAATAAAATATTTAAAGGTTTAAAAAGAGAATTGCAAAGAAATGTTGGTGGTGTGGTAAACGACAATAAATGTTTCTTTAGAATGATAGCTGTTGCCTTGATGTTAGCTGAGAAAGAAATTAGAGTGGAGGATTTAGTTGTGAGAAAGAACGAAAAAGCTCATTTGAAAAGAGAAAGCCACTTTTCCTTTATTAAGGTTGCATTACCACAAGATGAAGCAGCACACCAGTAGACATGGTTTTTTATACTTTGGACCCATTGAAGAAGCATACGATTCCCTTTTTTCTTGCCTATCGCTTCAACTTTTTTCCCAATTGCTAAAAAGTATTTTAGGATAACATTCACAACTTGCTTACAATAGCCATTTAGGTAGCAAACAAAACATGAATCCTTCCATGTGGTATATTAAGTGTACTTAACAATAGTTATGCCCTAGATGATATTATTTTGAATTAAAACACCAAAAAATGTTGACACCAACAACTAGGCAGAAAAAGGGTATCAAAATTATAGTCGTTATAAATCAAAGGAAAATCAATAATAATTTCTAAAGAAAAGGGCTAAATGAAAAGTCAAAATGGGAACATGTGCATCTAGTTTCAAGTTAAAGTCATAGTTTTTTACTTACATTTTGCAACATGGAACACATCAAAGAGATGCTTTGTTTCTTTTCTTTCTGTTCGCATAAATTTTCTGACTGGTCCATGACGATCTGTGACCAAAGTAGTGTACAACAAATGCTCACTATCTAACAGCTGTAAACATGGTTTTAGACCCTCAAGTTCCATGTGATTTGCACCACCAACTTCATTACTCTTAAAAGATAGATTTTTCTACATTTAGTTTCTCACGTTGGTATTGGCCCATTGCAAATGGAAAAACAATATTGAAATTTTGATGTAAGATTGAACATTGCATAATAATGACATAATAACGCCTTTGAAACAAGGCTTATTAAGAATGTTGCTCTTGCTTTTGAACATGACACTTCCTATAATTTTGAAAATAATTAACAGTAAGTATTCATATAATCAACAGGTATAGTTACCTGAACTAATTGCAAATCAATGACCTTGTTGGTGCCAAGGTCCATTAGAGAATAGGACCCATATTTTGCGGAGTGTCCTGGAGAGTCCATCCTTGCATCCCCTCCGAGTACAAGTTGCATGTTTTTCCTAGCCACAAACAGTTCCTGACGACACTTTGCCCATACTGCATTTACTGTTGGTATCAAGTAGGCACGTTGTATGTCACTGTATGTGCGGATTGCAATTGATGGCATGTTTAGGTGGTGGAAAAAACAGAGCAGCTTGGAACACTGGGATCCCGAAAAGAGACATGAAGCAGCAAGAAACAAATTACCAAGAGCCATCTGATTATGAAGCGGTTGAGACATCCACTTTGTTTCATGCCCATTTAGGCACTCTGCATGAATTTGCAACATGGACCCAAATACATGACTCTCATGCACAATTTTTCAAGAGAGTTGAAAGGCAAATGCTTTTCCTAAGAAATTATTGAAAAGAAACTTCAAGACAATTCAGAATATCTTCTTGTTACTATCCAGTGTCATACTATGTTTTATCATTATTACTTCTTGTGAGACTATTGCTAGAAAATGAAGCATTTTGTATAAAATGCTGGTATCTAACAACATCACAATCAATTAATGTGTGTATTATCGAGATAAGCTCATTAATTATTGAATCACTGGGATGAAAACCAGATTATTTTCCTTCACTGGCTTTCTGGGTCAAGTATTTTAAGAGATTCCGTGTGTTGTATGACAAATTATAACTGTGTACATTTATAAACCATAATTAGAAAACACATACCTGATCAAACAAATTTTTCTCTAGAATATTCGCTGCCCTTCGGCAGCCTCCTCAGTAAGAATCGAGTTAGACTCTTGCATTCTACTAAAGGTCATTGTTTTTCGGCTCCATTGATTTGCTGTGTCAAATTTTATTTCTTTGTCGCGTCTACTGTTTGAATTACACCATTCTTCCTTGCTGGTTAGTTCCTAGTTTAATTCTTTAATAAATACATAATTGCATCATTGCCACAAGGCGCAAGTATTTTAATTGTTTATTTTGCTGTGATGTTTTATCACGTGATATGTACAGAGCTAATTATTTTCAAATCGAGGTTGAAACATCTCTTGTCTTTTGAAGGCTAATCTTTCTGGTTGTAGGGGGCTAATCTTGTCTTTCCTAGGCTAATGTTACTATTATCCATTAGGCAGGGGGCCCATGTAGCAGGCTTTACTGGAAGCTAGTCTTCTGTTTATCTTTTGTGGTAACCACTGTATGGTTGTAACGCTGCTGCTATAATGCGTGCGTCACAACCTCGCTTTGGTGCTGATCAGAGATAGGTGTGGTAGTTATTCGTTCTTCTATGAAATCACATGTCCCATGCAGGGTCAATCTGATTTTTTGAGATGGAGGCTAAGATAGATCTTGTCTTTCCAAGGCTAATGTTACTATTGTCTGGGGTCAGGGTGGGCTAGCTATGGGGCTTTATTGTATGGTTATTTGAGGTCGTGGGTAATTTATTTAAGTAATAATCACTTTTCTATTTGTGTGGCTGATAGTCATAGGGAAATGGAGACAGCTTGCGTAGCGGGCATTCTAATGGGCAAGTTATCTAATTAAAGTCCAACAGATTAATTAACTCCAGATTTCTTGAAATATTCCCATGTACTCAAGTAGCTTTCTCTTAATGACTCAAATAGTTTTCCCTTAGTGGAAAGGCTGTGCTAATTTTTGCATTTTGAAAGCAGTGGAAAAATAAGTATTGCTCAATACATTATATTTGTAACCATTCGTTTATAATCATAACAATCATACCTTGGTTTTATTGCAATAAACGACTTTAGCAAAGTGGCTCATATTGATTCTTCGTTGTATCCTCCTCTACCCAGATGGAACTTGATAGATAAATGTAAAGAAAACACCATTTATAGGTAATATTTGGAGAGGTAACATATAAGGTAAAACGGTATAATTGCAGGAAATAATAAAATGGCCCCCCCTTTGTTTTGGTTTAAATTGGAAGGATAAACCCTTATCAGATAAAGGTTCTCCGGCGGTGTAGAATAGGGAAGGATTCCATAAAAAGAAACAGAATCACAGAAGGAGCTGTAACATGCACGATTGTTTTTGAGAAGAATCCAACAAAAATCCCTAAAAATCCTATTGTTTTAAAAATCTCGTGCACTGTATAGAAGTTGATCAATCGATTGATGATTAATGCAAATCAAAGAAAGGAAAAGGTGTTAGAAAACTATCCATTCTAATAGGGTTGGTAAAACGCAGTCTGAATGAGCACAATGAGTTATTACTTATCAAACTATTTATATATAGATCCCTATAAAACTATATAGCTATATGACTATATATCTGTACCTACGTAGAGACAATGAAACTACGGACTGACTGTGCAACAAAGAAACTATAATCAATAATTTTAAAACTATAAATCAACTATGCAACATTAAAACTATAAACAATTCTAACATTCTAAAACTAAAATCAATTCTAACATTCTAAACTATAATCAATTCTAATTATTAACATTTAAAACTATGAAATATTAATTGTAACTATGAATAATTAACACTTATAACTTGAAAGTATTAATTAACATTTAAAACTAATTATCAACATTTGAAATTTTTTATTATTTTTCATTTTCATTTATTTAATTTTATGAATTTTTTATTTGCAATATATACTATGAATTCTAAACTATTTAATGAACATTTGAAACTTTCATTATTTTCTTATTTTTTATTCATTTAATTTCAGAAATTTTTTTTTACAATTATCATTTGAAACTATGAATTAAACTTAAAACTATTGATTAACATTTAAAACTAATTATTAACATTTGAAATTTAAAACTAATTCATAACATTTGAATTTTTTTATTGTTTTTTTATTTTTATTTATTTAATTTTTTATTTTTGAATTTATGCTTTATAGTGGGGATGCCAAAATGGCACCCCATTGCCATAACTGAAATTAATTTCCCCGCCAGCATCATGGTAAATCAGCTTAGCTGCTATTGTGTTATTTCATTTCAAAAGGGTCTTCCAGTGTGGTATTGTTTAAGATGTGGTCCATCATATTTTGAATGCTCATGCATGGCATGACAATTTTAATTTTTGCGAACATACAGTCCTCGTCCTCGACTGCCCAACATGTCTGCATTTGCCATCCATGATAGCAGACATATGCCGTGATAGTCCGTGTTGCAGGCACTACATCTATATAAACATTCCCCTGCATCCTCATCATACCAATCCATACATATTGGGCATTTTGCATCGTCTATGAACACTTGTTCTTTTAACAAGTTTACTTCTGTGAGTTGAACCTTCAACTGTAGTGTTGGGTCACTAGTTGCAACCTCTGTGTTTGCACCTACTGCAACTACTGGCCTGTGCGTGTCTGTCCCGATCTCCTCCTCATCCATTGAAATTCTAATGGTCTACAATGGTATCGCTGGTGGCTGTACTGGTGATGTAGGAGAAGATGGCACAACCCATAGTAGAGATGTTGGTGGAGATGTTGGTGGTGACAATATTGGTGTTGATGGTGGAGATGTTGCTGGTGACAATATTGGTGTTGATTGACGTGCTTGTTGTTGCACCTTTGATATTCGAAATAGGGGGGCTTGCCTCCTACGCCTTTGTTGTTGCCTCCTCTGCTCCTCTACTTCTGTGTCCTCTGAGGAGGACACAATCAATGTATCTCTTAATTCCTTGAAATGAAATAGTCTAGTATTACAACTTGCTTCTAAAAAATTACTCGACTCTACCACTAATGCTGTTGCTGCCGCATCACTCGCAATTTGAAAAAATTAAAGGTTGCAAATTAAAAAGTAAAATGCACTCACTGCATCCTTTAACTTGTCGATCGTATGGGCCTTATCACAAAGCCGCTCCTTGTTGTTCTCATGTCAGAATAACCATAAGTTGGTGAACCTGGGCAAGAGGTCATTTACAAGTGTATTACCAAAACATGTTGCAAGGATATAAATGCCATGAGCTCCTGTATCGAAATAAGAAGCAAACTAATTTTAGAAGACAGATTTCTGAAGGCAGACGCATTGGGCTTTTGCTTTTCTCGATGAAAACCCAAATGGTTCCCATTTCGGAAGAGATGTTTGCCTCAATCTACAGGCTTTAAATGCTTTATCTGGGTGTAATTCTAAATCCTATTTCCGCAATGTAGGAAAGGTAAGGTTGCTGAGGACAGTCATCAAGACCCGCGATACCTTAAAGGGCCTCTCCAGCCAAAATTTGCAATTGTATTTTATTGGCTAATCTAAAGGAGGTGAAGCTGCTGATCACGAATTCGTTATTTGTTTTTCGATATTTTGTACAGTTTGTGAGATATAAGCTCTTGCATTTCGATAATTGAATTGAATTAAACGACAAAATATTTTCGGTTTGGTGACACTGTGACGCAATTTTGACTTTCACAGTGTATTTTGTTAGTCTCGCCTAGACCGAATTGAACGTCAGCGATTCGCAAATTGAAAACTGCAATTGTTGGTGCTCTCAGTTCTGTTCCGCCGGCTTTCAGTTTGAGCATTTCAGATATCAATTCTGAAGCCTTTAGTTGTTCATCGTTTCTGGAAAACAACTTGAAGTGTCAATTTCGATTAATTATACACGAGGGAAGAGCTGGAACAGGAAGCTGTAGCTTTGTAGGCCTACACAGGTGATCAAAACAAACTCGTCACACAGCATGGACACATTCCGACCCGCAAACTTAGAATAATTGTAAACATTTAATATTTTTCGATCCTAAAAAGCACCTGCTGTAGATTTAGATGCAGTTATCAACGCGTGACCATGACTCCTTAACGATTCGGTGGAAGATATAAGAAATTCATGACGAACGAGAGCCGCACACTGTGACGTCAGAATGTCACAAAACTGATTCGGCTTTTGACGTTTTTTTCTCGGAAAGGTGCAACTTTAAAGCCTTGTAACTTCTAAACTAATTGAAACTTTGCAAAAACGACAACTTTGCCATAATACATGCACCAGATGCTAACTTTTTAGTCTATAAAAAAATTTTTTTTTTTGGCTGGAGAGGCCCTTTAATCTGCTTGACAGCCTTGGAGAAGAAAAAGTGGTTAGTGATAGCGATATAGAAGATTTTCAGAAGTTTCTTCAAATGGTAATGTATTCTGGCAAGATCAAGAGAAGCTATATGTGGAAAGAAGACTAAAAATGTATAACAAAATGAATGTAACATTAAACGCCTTCCTGATACACATTCATAAAAGATAGCCTACCTCTGGTTGCGTTGCCAAGAACCATCCATCAAGACTTTCTTTCGAAAGTTGTGGCTGGAAGGGTCTTCTAAAGAGTCTTCCTTGAAATGTTTTTGCTTCATGTGCCCCCTGCTGCCTCCTTCTTTGAAGTCAAGACGGAAAAACAAGAACAGACTTTCAGAAAGCGTTGGGGCAGATGTCAAAAGTGGCAGTGAAAATCTCCCTGCTCCAAAGAAATGCAAGAGATGTACAGAGGTACTGAAATAGGCCTGTAGTGTCGACGAAATCAGTGCTAGTAACGAATACAAGGAAACAACAGACCAGGCAGACTCTGACCTAAGTAGCACTGAACTTTCTGATGAACCAGAGAGGTAACTGGAAGTTTATAACTTCAGTTCATTGGGGGATTCTGGCGGTAAATGGATTCAAGGCGAATATATATGTACCTTGAAACGTTAAATTGAGTGATGTAGAATAACTACCTGATAAAACATTGACACAAAACGATCCAGAAATGCGCTTGATTAGATCAGAGCTTTTGTATACACCAATTTGACTTACGGCCTCGTTTTGAAAAATTCTTCAAAATTTTTTTGTCTAAATTTTTGACCTCAGATTCAGATTGAGAGCAATGATTTTAGTCTAATTGTAAGTTTTCATTATCATATTGCTAACGATATTGATTTTATGACGACACAAAGATAAAAACTTTATAAGGGATTTGACCGTGATTGGCGACTAGGGGGGTAAAGTTTCCCCCGGAACGATTTTTGCGGTCAATTCCCTTACAAGTTTCCAAACTTCATTTCTCCGTAAAATCTAAAATACAAGCTGAAACAATATGAAAAATGGTATCCCGACTTAAATTATGGCAATTAAACCAAATCTGCACTTAAAATAGTCGTATAATTAAGTTTAGAGAAATTTCCAAAACGAGGTCGTGAGTCGAATTGGTGTATTAAAATGCACTGATCGACGGCCATTTTGAAAGTGATGACGTCATTATTGAAAATTGCTGACATCGTTAAAATAGTGATGTGTATATATCATTGGAAAGCTTTCCTTCAAGCGAGTCCGAATCTAGCAGTTATATTGAAGTCAGACATATACTCAAGAATTTACAATGATTTTGAGTCTAGGAAACATAACCTTTTTGACGTCATCGGTATGGACTTTGATGAATTTTTGAAAATGTTGTAAGGATTTAAATTATTCGTTATACCATATAGTTCCATAATCAAGCGAGAAAACAAAGGTTAGGCAATGCGGTTGATAGTTGAGAGGAATTCCCTGCCTAGGATGATACATCCATAAATTTCAAATTTCCATCGACGGCAGCTTGCGTATTTAAAGTGAATTTTTGTTTCCTGCAAAGGTAGTCAATGGGCGCATTTTCAGATGCAACAATCTCTATATGTGTGGCGTCAATTGCTCCTATAACTTGAGGGATTTTACATATCTCTGAAAATGTTTCCAAAGCGATAGCGATATTGCCAGCAACAATATTTACGATATCATTGAAAGGTTGTTTCAAAAATTGAAACTGCTGTTTCAAATAATCATCGAGAGTATCAAACTCTACATTAGCCCATAGTCTATCAAACCAATGCTGAGGCCTTTCAATAGCCAAAAAACGCTTGGCTCTTCGAAGTAAATTTTCAGAAGTTTTCAGAAGTCAGCTTGTCTCGCCAAAACATCTTGAAATATCCCAAAGTGTTTTTATTGTGTTATCGCATTTTCTGAAACATCTGGGGTGAAGATTTCGCTATGCTTGGGGATGTCTTTTTTCTACCATCAGTAAACATGCTTCTTCATAGATGCAGATGGTTTTTCCTCTGCCTCCTCATTTCCATCACTTTCCTCTTTTTTGGTACTGCCGTTCAATTCATTTTTTGGCCTATATTTTTTTCATCTGTTTCAAGCCTATTCAGTAACAAATTCAGTAATCTTCTAGCTCATCATCATTCTCATCAGAATTGAAACCAGGATTCATTTCCATCAAGCGCAATTGCAAGAGCATCATCGAAATCAATCCTTTTACTACAATTCAATGCCTTGATACCTGAAATGAAAGACAGATTCCTATTCACATTTATTATGTGGTCAATTTCTGTTAATCACACACACAAATTTCATTGCAAAATGGAATCAATCTGGTAAGCTCATTTAAGCAGATTCTACTCACTAAGCACAGTAAGCACACTAAGGATCGTCAATGCCCGGCCTTGAAGACAATTACCAGCCAAAACCACTCACCTGATTTTCCAAACTGTTTTTTTCAAATCCTCCTTGATCGATCGTCGATGCCCGGC